ATAAGAGCGTCAACACTGTTTACTTGTTTGCAAGTTTCTGGAACAATTCATAGGCAACACAAGGAAACCTAATTGTAGTTGTAAAAGAGAAAATATACAACCCTGATAGTCTCCCAGTATAAGGACTCATGACAGTTGGAAAATAGAAGGGGAAAGAAGAAAGGGTAGGAATGTGAATGTCCTTACCTTTAATAGTACAGAGAAAAAGAGAAATGAAGGCTCAAGTGCATTGTTTAATGTCACAAAGGTAAATAAGAAAATAATAAAAACTAGGCCAAAAGCACAAAAAACCCCAACCCAACCTCGACCAAGAAAATAAATTAGCTGGGTGTGGTGCACATCCGTGGTCCTAGTTCCTCGGGAGGCTGAGGCAGGACTGCTTTGCTTGAGCTCAAGAGTTTGAAGCTGCAGTGAGCTGTGACTGCACCACTGCACTCTGGCCTGAGTGACAGAGCAAGACCCTATCTCTAATACAAAACAACATAGTGCAACCCTAACAATAGGTTTTTAAAAAAAAATTTTTTTTTTTGCAGTTTTGGCTGGGGCCAGGCTTGAACCCGCCACTTCCGGTATGTGGGTCCGGCGACCTACTCCTTGAGCCACAGGTGCTGCCCCTAACAATAGGTTTTTAAACTTCAACCAAAATAGAGTTCTGTATCTTTCAGGGAAACATAACATGTCCTGTTGCCACGGCAATCCCTAAGCTGGGTACCACTTATTAGTGATACAAGTGCCAGCACAATCTAGGTGAGTGAACGTGTGTTTTACACAGGACACGTAGAGAGCTAAACCTTGTAAGGACAGAAAGGTGACAAGACGATGACAAGGTACCCCGATGAGCAAGCCCCCGGTCCAGGAGCTCAGAGAAGAAAGCTTGCACACTGTGGTGGCATCAATCCTCATACACCATGTGGTGGCACCAACTCCTCACACACCGTGGGCGTCTCGTCCCTTCCTGTCTTCCTGTCTCACTGGGTTTCACATTTGCCAACATAAAACCCAGTAAACGAAGCAATGAGAAAGTTAAAGAGTTAGTTAATTGGGTTATGAACTGCTGCATAGATAGGACTGAATTTCTCAGGCTATCTCATTACTTCACTTTCACCCCTTAGAATGACAAATTGAAGGGAAATACCTGTGTGGCAAAGAATAGAACTTGCGGTGAGTCTAGCATCGCACGGGGTCTATAAAAATAGAGAGTAACATAAAAAAAGGGAGCTGCAGTAATTTCACTGACACAGTTCCCTTGACCTTTTACTGAACTGTATTTCTGTTTAACCAAACCGTTACTGTGTAATGTTATGAAGCATATTACATTCATGGCCGTACTGGTGGAGATCTTTAAACATAGCGGCTTCACCAGAATCTATGTAAGCCTCCAGACCACTGATTTTCAACCGTTTTTATCTCACGGCACATTAAACCTATAGTTCAACTTTCATGGCACATTCAAATTATGTTGATCCAAAAAAAAAGAGTTAAAAAAAAGAGAATATACTTACTCTGCTTTGAACTTATTTGGAAAATAATTTAATTAATGATCTCTAAAATTTTTCATGGAGACCTAAGGTCCTCTCCTGACACACTGCTGTGCTGTGGCATGCTGGTTAAAGATCATTGCTCTAGACCTAACTACCAGTAGACAAGAAATACAAGCACACCGAAATTATCACCATGGGCATCAATCAGCAAAATTCCAAGACACAATCAATGCTATAGCCTCCCTACTCAGAGTGGGTATCAGCGGGGCATCTGTTAAACTTGTGGGTTCCCAGGCCCCACCCCACCCTGCTGCACGCGGATCTTTAATACAATCTCCAGGTGATTCATATGTGCATTTAAGAATCAATGTTCTAAGGGACAAAAAAAGAAAAACGCAGAAACACAGTCAGACATGGAAGGGTGGGTAGCCCATAAATCAAAGCAGACTTTAGAGATGTATCAACTGAGTGCAGTGTGTACGTGCTGTTCAGATGCTGATTAGAAAAAGAATGATAAGAAATGGGGAAAGGCTATGACTGTTTAAATCGCCTTATCTGCTGGGGTGAATGAATAAGTAGAATAACGCAGGAAATGTTTAATTAAGAAAATATAAGGTGCATTTAATTTTTTTATGGAGTAGCATTGCTTGTAATCCTGTAAGTACATAGGCGGCCAAGCGAAAGCTAACCAAAAGCTACATGAGCTTGGAGAATATTATTGGATAATTTAAACATTCCTATGTAGAACCCTATTACCCTAGCACTAAGAATAAGGCAAAATTTTCACAGAAATGAATTACATTAACCAATCTGTGAAAACCAATTTGCAGCACTGTGTCATCATGAGGAAGGAATCGGGATGGCAAGTTTCTCTAGGAAGGAGTAGAGAGAAGTGACTTTGGGCAGTCACTACCTTCTCACCAAGTGCAGCTGGAGTCATCTGCAAAGGAGCAGACAGTAACAGTTCCTGTGCCTAGCTCACACAGTGGCCAGGTTCAAATGCAAGAATGGGTGTGAAGGCGACCGGTGTACCACAAAGCACTCATCACATGTTAGCTGCGTTTCTTTTTGTTTCCTGTTTACAATGCACAGGCAATCTGCTCTACAAGTACGAGCTTTGGAATCAGACGGGGTCCCGAGGTTAGTCTCCCAGCACCAACCCTGAGGAACAGGAACAAGTGAATAAGCATCTCGCACTCAATGTCCTCTTCTGTAAAATAACACAACGGCCCTGTAGCAGACTGTGGACAGTCCATCCGCCCCCTCACTTTCTCCCACCAGCTCCTCCCTGTGCAGCCCCTGCAGGAGCAGAGATGTCGGTTCTGGCCCAGGGGACGTGAGTGGCAGTGGCATTCACCACCTTGGAGTGGGCGCTCTGAGAGCCATCTTGTAAACGTGCCACCACTGTCTTCCATCGGCCACAACAATGGCATTGACCCAGGCAGCAGCGACACCTCTGGCTGACCCCCCAGAGTGGGGAGGAGCAGCATCTGACCTGCATGCCAGCCTGTCAATCCCTTCAGAAAGTTACTGTGGAATAAAATACAGCAATTTCCAATATTTCCTTTGTGTTGCTCTGAAAACCCTAAAATATATCACGACTCATAGCTCTGGGTATGTACTGCATTCATAACCATTGGCAGTCTAACTTGACCTTATATACCTTAGCAATCACATATACCTTCTACTTTGATCCAGATATTACATATTTCAGTCAAAATAAATCGTAAGTAGTAAAAAAAAAAAATCCTCATCAGGTCCAGAATGTATTTCTAACCCCAGAACCAGCTTTGAAAGCTTATACCTGAAGGAATTAATAAATTAGGCCATTCTTGCATGTTGACTATTTTGAGTTAAGGCACTTAAAGAAATAGCAGGTACAAAAGGCTCACTCTGATCTTCATTCTGTTTCTTATAAACAGGGGATAAAATTCCCACGTGAAAGATGTCCTCTCCATATTAAAAAGAAAACAACATTCTCACCATCAAGGACAGGAAATTGAGAGAATTCTGCTGCATAAGCCTTATTAAAATACCTCTCATCTTTACATCCTTCAGCTCTGTTTTCACACCTTAGGATTCTTTGTCCAATTGGGTATGTAAATGTCTGACTCTGCTTCTTTGGGTCTCCTTTCCTCAGGAAGGCTTCTATGCCACGTGAAATTCACATGAGGTTTTATACGAGTTCATACAGCTTGTATTAAATGTGTATGCTTTTCTCCTGTTAATCTGTCTTAAGTCAATTTGACTCTCAGACCCAACCAAAAAACCCTAAAAGGGAAGAGGTAAAGTTTTGACTTCCCCACACCCCAATCACATGGCCTTGTAATTTCCAGCTTCTCCTGACTATGCGATATTTAAATCCTTA